GCCGCTCCTCCTCGCGCTGGGCGCTGGGCCCCGGGCCTGGCCGGACCGAGGGCCGCGTCCTCCTGACCCGCCGCGGGATCCCGACCGGCCCCCCCCGGCCCCGCCTGCAGCTTGCACCCGGCTTCCTTTGTGGGTCGGAATTATTATTATTATTATTATTTTTTTTTTTGGCTTCCCCCTTCCCCTGGAGGCTGCGGGGCGGGAAGGCCGGCCCGCGCTTCTCTCCTTTCGGTGTTTCATGGACGGGGCATTTAAAGTTCTTTCCTTTCATTTTTCTCGCCTCTTGACTGGAAGGCCCCTCCTCGTCTGGCCCTCGCCCTGCAGACACCCCGATCCACCTGCCTCGGGGCCGGGGATGTCCCGACAGTGACGGCGGCGAGCCGGACCCGCGCGCCGAGAGGGCCCCGGCCCAGCGGGCGAGCGCACGCCCTTCCCCGCCCTCTTCCTCGCACTCGGAGCTCGGAAGCCGGAGCGGACGAACGCCGCCGGGGAAGATGTGGCTGAAGCTGTTCTTCTTGCTGCTCTATTTCCTGGTCCTGTTCGTCCTGGCCAGGTTTTTCGAGGCCATTGTGTGGTACGAAACCGGCATCTTGGCCACCCAGCTGGTGGACCCGGTGGCTCTGAGCTTCAAGAAGCTGAAGACCATCCTGGAGTGCCGGGGCCTGGGCTACTCGGGGCTCCCCGAGAAGAAAGGATGTGCCGGGAGCTGGTGGAGAAGTCAGGCAAGTGTCGGGCTCTCCCCCGCGGTCGCCTCCGCCAGGGCCCGGGGGTGAGGGGTCGGGGGTGGGGTTGCGGGGCGACCTGTACTTCCTCGCCCCTGGTGGTCCCCCAGAGTGAGGCCTTACCTGGAAGAGTGAACCCGACTCCTCCGGGAGCTGCCCAGTCTTTCTTTGTCCAGGTTTTCTACAAAAAAAAAGATGTGAATCCCATATTGAGAAGGGGCCTGGGATGATTATTTATAGGGGATAGGTGGATCTTGTAAAGGTTGTTTTAAAATAACAGTTTAAAGTGCAGCTTGTTAGTGTTGTTTACCAAATTCCGTGATTTTTTTTTTCTCAGACTTGGGGAGTGTTACGAACTGGAAGCATTATTAGTTGCCAGTTGAAATTCACGAGGCTGTGAGAAACACCACCAGACGCTGCCTGTGCGCAGCGATATTTGTCAGGATAACAATAGCCAGTTGCCGAGGGGGGAAAACACCACTGGAATACTTAATATCAGAGATGCATGTAGGCCTGAGGTTTAAATGTGAAATGGGTTTAAACATAGAGAAAGCGTACACTGTGCAGTATTAGCTTTTCATACTTTTAAGTGTGGTGAAAATGAATGTTTTTTTGTGAATACCTACCTAGTTTTATATTTCTGTCAGGGCTTTTTAAAAATCCTTGTATTTTGGATGTGAACTTTTTCCCTTCTGTGTCACAGGCACTGCTGCATCAGCCTAAATGGGCTGATAAACAGAATGGAAATAGTGCTAAAAGCATAGCATCTTAAAAATGCATTTTCAGTAACTGTTAGTTTTGGGGTAGGATTTGGTGAGAAATATGGTTAATTTTTTTTCTCCACCCCTGGACAAAGTATATCCTTGTTTAGATATATTCTTCCTGAAATGGGGGATGTGCTATTATTTGGGAAAGGCATTCTGGGTTGTTGTAGATAGCAGTTGAAACTGATAGTTACCTTTTGTTGTTGTTGTTTCAAGTATAGCTGTCAGCTGTGTCCTTTACAAGAAAAATGTTTTCTTTATTTAGTACCCTGTAGCCATACATTATGATAGGCGAGAATATTAATTCCAGAGGTTTAGCACTCACGTATTTGCAAGTTAAGGGTTCTCAAACTCATTACTATTGTGCAGAGGAGGGAACCCTCTCTGTAAAAGTGGTACATTTTTCTTCAGAAGAAACAAAATTATGTGTATTATTCTTGCCTCTTGTTTACTAACTGGTTTATGGTGACTTTTATTTCTGGGTGGGGTGAATGGAGTAAAGTAGAAGATTTCTAATAAGTAAACACTTTAGGTTTAGAAATGAGCAGTATCTTAATTGCCAAAGCCAAATCCTTTTTCACGGTAAAATAGTTTAATAACACATTTTTTTTCCTTTTGATTTTTATTTAGTGTTGCCTTTCTTGGGCCTAAAAATATTTGTCACTTTGAGTATACAGGAGTGTATATATCACTTGAAGAATACACACGGCCCACAAATACACAGATCACACATTTTATAGCAGAGAAGTCTTGGGATTGCAGTTTAACTTTATTCGTTGTGAGTGGTTTTGTTGCTATCATGATAAAGTGCTTGTTTTCTCAGGTTTAAAATTTAAGGCAAAAGTTAACATGATTTGACATTAGTGTTTCCCTTTACTTTATATTTGATGATGTAAGCTCTAAATTTATACTGTTAATTTGTGTTTGAATATGGAGTTTGTTCTTATAGGTAATCTTTTGTATCTAACTTCCAAGTCATATAAGATCTGTTGCTATTTTAAGCATGCATTAGTGGCAAATTCTGTAACTCATTTCTAAATCTTGTAAGTCAGAAGCATATAAAACATACTGTTCAGAAATTGTTTGGCCCTGGCCATTACTCAGTGGTTAGAGCACCAGCCAGAGCACCAAAGGTCAAGGGTTTGACTCCTGGTCAAGGGCAGTACCTGGGTTGTAGGTTCCATACCCAGCCCTATCAGAGCTGGTACGGGAGGCAACCAATTGATGTGTCTCTCCCACATGGATGTTTCTCTCTCTCCCTCCCTCTCTTTCTCCCTTCCTCTCTCTCAAGAAAATCAATGGTAAACATATCCTTGGGTTAGGATTAACAAAAAAAAATTGTTTGGCCCTGGCTGCTGTGGCTCAATTGTTTGGCCACGTCGTTCCATGCACCAAAAGGTGGTGGGTTTGATTCCCAGTTCAATACCCAGGTTGTGGGTTTGATCCCCAGTCTGAGTGCATACGGGAGGCAACCAGACGATGTTTCTTACTCGAATCAGTGTTTCCTTCTCTCTCCCTCTCCCTTCCTCTCTCTCTAACATCATTAAAAACATATTTTATAAATAATTATTTGAAGCCTGGATGTTATACACAAAACTAAATAATACTGTGGTGGCTTTTAGGCTGGTATACATTCAATAAATTATCTGATGACCCCTAGAATATAAGCCCCACAAGAAGATGGATTTTTGTCTGTTTTGTTCATATTTGCCTAATACATAGTAGGTTCTTATTACATATTTATTGAATGTGTGGATTTTAAATGGGTGTATTCAGGTTCTGAGCAGAGTGAAATGAAAGTATAATAACATGATTTTTAACATTGTAAAATGGAATTGATCATTGAAGATGAGAACGAGGGATTTTTGAAATCTTATTAGTGTTATTTTTTCTGTCTTCAGGTGACTTGATGGAAGGTGAGCTCTATTCTGCACTCAAGGAAGAAGAAGCATCTGAATCTGTTTCCAGTACCAATTTCAGTGGTGAAATGCACTTCTATGAGCTTGTAGAAGACACAAAAGATGGCATCTGGCTGGTTCAGGTACCAGAAACAGCGATAGAAGTGAATTTATTCTTACCAAAATAGTAACACTTCTGTGTACTTATGTCAGGTTTCTTAGACATAACTCAGTTCTCATAGGGAGGCTCCAGTGTCCTCTTAAAATGTTAGGGAAAGAGAGTTGACCGCTTTGTTTAGAAACAGCAGAAGCAAATCCATTTTAGTTGTTGGATCTTCATAAATATATTCCTTTTATTTAGTGGTTTGTACCATATCTCTTAATTTTTGTGAACTCCAGTTTTTAATTAAATAACCCAAATGAACCCTACCTCTTATGCAAACTGTGAGATTTAATTAGCATATTGGAATTTTAGAGCTGTGAAGGATTTAAAAATATCTTTTATGCTTCCCAAAGTATAGTTTATATACCACTCATGGTAAAGAGTGAGCACACATTATCATTTATGTATTTTAATGTAAGTTAGGAAAATCAATGTATCGAACACATAATTTCATAAATATCATTAGGGCAAGGCTAAGATTATTTAAATTACTAAAAATGTAAGTTCTTTAAAGTATCATATTAAGTAAATTACCATCATGAGTGCAGATAAAATTATGCTTATTGAACCAGGATTAAATTCCAAGGCCCCTAATTTCTTATCTAGTGCTCTTGTCGTTTCACACTGGGATTGGCAAAGTTTGATTCAGGGTATAAAAATTAAAATAGCCATTGCTTTATATATCTCCAATATGACTTTCTTTCAATATGGGAACATTACTACAAAATGTGGTAGAAAAAGCTGAATTCAGAGACCTTAGTTGCAGAGCTGATTCTGTCACTGATTTACATTATGATTGTGGATAGGTAGACTTCTTTTGCACATGGTCTCAAATAAATACATATATATCTAAAGAGGATGCGATAATACTGTAGTTCAATGGGCTAAAGGGTTAAGGTTTGGGAACTCTTCGGGTAATTACATTGGATATTCTTGACCTTTCCTTTACTTCCAATCTTTCTATTGTGTTTGACCTATTACCCTCCAGATAATTTAATTCAATAATTTTAAAAAATGAGTTTCTTGCCCTGGCCAGTGTTTCTCAGTGGTTAGAGTGTCAGCCATTTACCTACAGGTCTCTGGTTTGATTCCCAATTAAGGGCACATACCTGGGTTGCAGGTTTGATCCCTGGTCGGGGTGCGTGAGGGAGGAAACCAAAGTGTCTCTCTCACATTGATGTTTCTCCCTCCCCCTCTCCCCTCTCCCCTCTCCTCTCTCCTCTCTCCCTCCAATGTGTTTCTCTCACATCATTATTTCTCTGTCTTTCCCTCTCTCTTCTACTCTCTCTAAAAAAAATCAATAGAAAAAATATCCTCAGGTGAATATTAACAAAATTATTTTCCAATTCAGTTGACATACATACAGTATAAGTTTCAGGTGTACAACATAGTGATTAGACATTTATATACTTTACAAACTGATCACGTTGATAAGTCTGCTACCCATCTGACACCATACATGGTTATTACAATATTATTGGCTATATTCCTTATGCTGTACTTTACATTTCTATAACTGTTTTTATAACTGGCAATTTGTACATCTTAATGCTTTTCATCTTTCCCCCCATACCATCTGGGGACCATCAGTATCTATGAGTTTTTTCCATTTTGTTTATTGCGTTTTTTAGATTCCACATATAAGCAAAATCACATGGTATTTGTCTTTCTCTGTCTGAGTTATTTCACTTAGCATAATACCCTCCAGGTCCATCCATGTTGTTGCAAATGGTAATTTTTCATCCTTTTTTATGGCTAAGTAATATTCCATTGTATATATGTTCCACATCTTTATCCAGTCATCTACAGTGGGCACTTAGATTGCTTCCGTCTTGGCTATTGTAAATAATGCGTGAACATAGGGATGCTTATATCTTTTCCATTTACGGTTTTGGATTTCTTTGGATAAATACCCAGAAATGAAATTCCTGGGTCATATGGTAGTTCTATATTTAATTTCTTGAGGAACCGCTATACACTTTTTCATAGTGGCTGCACCAATTTGCAGTTCCACCAAGAGTGCAAACGGGTTCCCTTTTCTCTACGTTCTAGACAACACTTCTTGTTCGTTGATTTATTGAAGGCAGCCATTCTGACAGGTGTGAGGTGAGATCTTATTGCGGTTTTTGATTTGCATTTCCCTGATAATTAGTGACATCGAGCATTTTTTTCATATGTCTGTGGGCCACCTGTATGTCTTTTTGAAGAATGTCTAGTCAGGTCGTCTGCCTATTTTTTAAATGGATTGTTTGTTTTTTTGATGTTAAGTTGTATGAGTTCTTCATATATTTTGGATATTAACCCTTTATCAGATGTATCATTGGTGAATATCTTCTCCCATTCAGTAGGTTGTCTTTTGCCTTTTCATTTTGTTGATGGTTTTCTTCACTGGCAAAAAAATTTTAGTTTGATATAGCCCCATTTGTTTATTTTTTTCTTTTTCTTGCTTGAGGAGATATATCCAAAAAGATATTACTAAGAGTGATGTCAAAAAGTTTACTGCTTAAGTTTTTTTCTTGGAGTTTTATAGTTTCAGATCTTACATTTAACTCTCTAATCCATTTTGAGTTTATTGTTGTATATGGTATAAGAAAGTGGTCTAGTTTCAGGCAGCTCAAATTCCACTTGGGAGAGGTAGGCACTAAATAAGCAAATACTTACTATAACATCAGGTAGTGGAAAGTGCTAAGAAGAGAAATAAGCTAGGTAAATTAGGAGACAGAGAGTGGCAAGGAATTCTCTGATAAGGTGACACTTGAATGAAGTAAAGACCAAATAATGATAGTGAATGTTAGCATTATAAATTCTAATCACTAAATTATTTTTGTCTGAAAATAGTTTTTAAACCTCATAGGTATTAATAGTTGAGAAATACGCCGAAACCGGTTTGGCATGTATTTATATGGTTTTCTGTGTGTTAACGATGCAGTAGGGCACACACACTTAATTTTTCCAGTGACCTTCAAGGTTTGCAATGTCTGGTTTGTATTCCTTGGGATTAGTGGCTTACATCTGTCAAATGGCTGGCTTGCGTTGAAAGAACAGTCTCTGGCAGTACAACTGAGAAGACTGAGATTAAAACCCTGTCCTCGGCACTCTGAACTTACTAGCTAACCTAATCAGCACAGAAACTTTGGTGTGAGCTCTTAAAAGAAACCTTTTTTAAAAAATAGATGGATGGATGGGTAGGTAGGTAGGTAGGTAGATAGTTAAAAATAGCCCTGGCCAGCATGGCTAAGTAGTTAGAGCATCTGCCTGTGCATCAGAGGGTCAGAGGTTAGATTCCTAGTCAAGGGCACATACCTGGGTTGCAAGTTCAATCCCAGTCCTGGGGCATGTTTGGGAGGCAACCAATCCATGTGTCTCTCTCACATGTTTCTCTCTCTCTCTCTCTCTCTCTCTCTCTCTCTCTCTCTCTCGGTGTCTGCCCCCTCCTCCCTCCTTTCCACTCTCTAAAAATGAATGGAAAAATATCCTTACTCCTCAGGTGAGGATTTTAAAAATTAATTAATTAATTAATTAAAAATTTAAAATATCTCCTAGAAACAGAAGAGAAATATTCTCTCGGTTACTTGTCATTCTTTCAGCTTAAATCATATTTATCTAATCTCTTGTAAAAGATAACTTTCAAGAATTAGTTTTTAACAAATTGAATTAGCTTTCTTTTCTAATTATTGGTATTTTGTTTTTTATTTTTAAAATATATTTTTATTGATTTGAGAGAGGATGAGAGAGGGAGCGAGAGATAGGAAACATCAATGATGAGAGAGAATTATTGATCAGCTGCCTCCTGCATACCCCCACTGGGGATCAAGCCACATCCCAGGCATTTGCCCTGACAGGAATCAAATTGTGATCTGCTTCATAGGTTGAAGCTCAACCACTGAGCCATGCCAGCCAGGCAAATTTTCGGTATTTTAGAAGAAGCTGACTTAACTTCAGTTTGTTCTGTTGTTTTGTTTTGTTTTTAAGTCCGTGAGGATGCATAAATCTCGGCCAATTCAATCCTCTTCAAATTGCCTTTATTTTAGGTATCCTGTGTAAAAAATAGTTAAACACATCCCAGTTGTCTCTTTTTTAACTCTCAGTTTTCTAATATCATTTCCTCACACAGATGAATTATAGTTTCCTTTTGTATTTATTGAGGAAAAATGTAGTTAGGTGGCATATAACTGATAATTAGCACTTTAAACTTTATATACTATTTTACTGAAAGGATGTCTGCATTTACTTATTTAGGGAAAATGTGACTTTAATAAATGGGTATATGAGTTAGCTGTTCCATCACTTGGTCATTTCATTATTTTTCTGAAATGGATTGATTGGCAATCTAGATTGATTATCTTTTTTGGTAACACTCCATGTGGAATGACACTACAAAAGGAAAAGGACTTTCTATAATATATTTAATTCACCTTATATTCCTTACTAGAGGCCTGGCGCATGAAATTCATGCACAGGTAGGATCCCTAGGCCTGGCCTGCGATCAGGGATTAGGGCCATCAGCCGGCTCCGTCCCCCACCGTCGTTGTCCGCCACCACCCACCCACAGTCCCCTGTTCCCCATCGGGCAATTGGAGCCTGCCAGCCTGTTGATCGTTCCGCCTGCTCACTGACCCCACTGCCGGTCGCCCTCTGTGTGTGTGGTGACTGGTGGGGTGATCGGGGCCCTGCTCCCTAGCACCCGCCTTGGCCTGGTGCCACCCACATTCGCTGCTACCTACCCCTGGTTCCCTGTTCCCCATAGGGCAATTGGGGCCTGCGGGCTGGGGGCAGCTCCTGCATTGAGCGCCTGCCCCTGGTGGTCAGTGCGCATCATAGCAACTGGTCGTTCCGCTATCCAGTCAATTTGCATATTACGCTTTTATACATATATAGATGATTTCTATCTTCTCTATAATTCATGAGTTTATTTTCTGAATAATATATGTTAATGATCTTTATATATTTCTCCTTTTTTAAAAAATATATTTTATTGAT